TATCTCAGTGTAGTTTTAGTTTCCATGTCTTTTATAAGTGAGATTAAACTTTTTTTTCATTTTCTTAATAGGTACATATATTTCTTTTCCTGTGAATTATCTGTTCAATACTTCACCACAAATCTTTTGGAATTGTTAGTCTTTTCCTTATTGATTTCTAGGCGCTCTAGTGTTTTGTTTTGTTTTTTTTGTTAACTAGGAAGATTAGCTCTTTGTGTTAGAAGTCTGCATGTATTTTTCCCAGTTTAACATTTGTCTTTACTTATGGTTTTGGGCTACGCAGAAAATTTTGAGGTTAAAAAAAATAATTTCTTCAGTTCTTATGAATGTTTTCTTTTCTGGCTTCTGGATTTTTACATTGAAACCAAAAGGACTTTCCCACTCCAGGGCTATAAAGAGTTCCCCCACGTATTCTTTTAGGGCTTTTATAGTTTTGTTGTTTACATTTTTGCATTGGATCCACTTGGAGTTTAACCTGGTGGATGGTATGTACTGACCCAACTTTTGTTCCTTCCCAGATGGCTGCCCACCACCCAGTGCCAGTAAGTGGAGAATTCATCTTTATCTCACGGATTTCAGAGGTTACCTTTATCAAATACTAAATTACCATATGTACTTGTATCTATATTTGGACTCTCTATTCTGTTTCATCCTTTTTCTCTACATGAGCCAATATCTTTAGATTCTATGGACTATTTTAATATCTGATAAGGCTCGGGCTCCTCACTGTTCTTGTACAGTTTTCTGGGCTATTTTTTTTTTGATAACTTTAGAATTAGCCTGCTTCAAAAAAACTGTTGGTATTTGGGTCACATCAGATTTATAAATTAACTTATGAAGACCTGATGTCTTGATAATGTTAGATTATTCCTGTCTAATATGATATGCTATTGATTTTTTAAATATTTTAATAGCATTAAGTTCTCTTGTTAATTCTTAGGTATTTTATATTTTTGTTTTCATTGGAAATAGAGTCTTTTCTTCTATAATACCAGCTAACAAGCTATTTGTATATTGTAGGATTGTCTTATAACAAATCTAATTATGTTGGTTCTAGCAGAGGACATTCTATTCTGTGCCTTTAGAAAACAATGGGATGGAAAAAAATCAAAGATTGAAAACTCTTAATAAATAAAGGGCAAGTTCCTACACAGGCATCAAAGTAACACACTTGAAGTTGGCGTTCACAAAACAGGCAAGCCAAGTGTGGTAGGGCGTCTTACTGGAGTGATCAAGGAATGATTCTGGCAAAGGAAAGATGGTATTCTGTAAGCTTTACAGCCAAGAGATAAGATACAGAAAGGTTAGGAGAAATACACAATAAAAAAATAAGGACTGACCTAATAGTTAGGAGCAGCTGACTTCATGCCTTCCTGGAGGCTGGAGGAGGATGGGGATATCTTGGCTTGGCTCACTATATTAGCAATGCATGTATCTAAACCAGCTACAATCCAAGGAGATCAGCAGTCTAGTTGCACACATAAACTGTGGGTGATATAATGGGCTTTACTTCCCATGATGTGATTATTATCAGGCTCTGCTGGTATTTTACAAGTCAAGAAAAAGTTTCCTGTCCCACAGCCACATGTTTCAAATACACACCCCCTTAAGAATAACCAAACTCTCACCCAAAACATGTACTTTTCCAATCTAGAGGTCCTAACTTAAACATCCGGGCTGTGTGCGCACAGAGGTGCAAAAGGCTCGTACTAGATGCAGTGTGTCCCTAGCGCACCGTCTTTAGCTGCTGGCTTTTTTAGGGTCCAGTTCAGCTATTGGCCAAGGTTACTCTCTTCTTAGGACAGACCCGAGCCAGTAACTGGGCATGACGCTGGTCCTGACATGGGACTCCTCAAACAGGCACTCTGCTCTGTGCTCCTGAGGGCTGGCAGAGCCTTTGTCAGATCAGAATTCTGGTGAGATGTCCCCTCACTCCTGCCCCCAAGGCCAATCATCTTGTGTCTCTTCCTTGCACAAGTGTTACTCCTTAGTAATTCTTTTGCATTCCTAACTTCACCTCAGAATCTGCAGGAGAATCCCACCTGCAAGGAAGATGCTTAGCAAGTTTGGGGGAAAAGGAGGGAATAAAAATCCCCATATAACATAGGACCAGACAATTCTGGTCAAATTTTTGAGGTCCTCCAACTTCCCATGGCCATCTATGAGCATTTACTGTTGGGCAGTTATATTGTTTGTCTGGCATAATGTGTTCTTGAATCCATCTTGGGCAGTAAGCACATATTTCCATTTTACAGACAAGGAACATCTGATACAAATAAGTGGTAGAACCCAGATTCCAATTCAGGCAGGTCTGTCTGGCTCCGTTGCCTTTTCTTTTCCTGAAGTACACTGTCCAACACACTTGGTTTATTGGCACGGAGTCATGGAGCTGGTAGCTTGGCATGGCATGGGTGTTTCTGTACCTACCTATACTAAGACACCTCCCTCACCTCCCTGTAAACAATGGACTACTGGGCCTCTGTGTTACAAGCAGATAGAATAATTGGGAGCGCAGGACTATATTCCTGGGTCGAGGCTGTACTTCATTTATGCCAAACCAAAAACAGTATTAACACATTTGTTAAAACAAATCCTGAGAATGAGTTAGCAAAATTTCCTTGAACACCCTGATTGATTAAGATGTTAAAATCAATCGGGTCGGGTCGGGGGTAAAGGGATAATCCAATGGCCTTCAAACATTGTTTTAACGCAGTGTAAGAGAAGCGGCATTATCCTTGCATAACTGGGTCCCTGAGTCCAGCAATACTGCCATCTTCTCCACACAGGCACTTCTCAGCAGCCTGGCTGCAGGAACCGGAGCCTGCACAGCGCCTATGCTGTCACCCTGTGCTGGCGCTAAAGAAACCATCCAACAGATAGCCGGGAGTCAGAAAACTTGTTAGTGATGTGACTGAGAACAGTTATGAAATAGCTCTTTACAAAAGCAAAAATTATATTTAACTACATTATTCTACTTTCTCGCCTGCCTCGTTTATTATTTCCAAATTCAGTGAAGCTGTACTCTTGTGTCTTCTCCCTGGCCACAGTCCAGGGATACATGATGCACCCAGAGAGATCTTTGATAACTTTATCAGAGACACGGCCAGCAGGAGCACCGAGGAATTAACAGAGGCTGTTAAAACTGCTAAACAATACATGATACGAGTGGATTGTCAGCAAATGCACAAGCCTACTTTTTCTGCATGGCTTATGTGACTGGTGTAATTTTAAATCTTTATAAGCCATTTGAAAGAGCACACTTTGATATTAATGGCAATGAGATGGTGGGGAGAAAAGTGTATATGATCAAAGAAAGTTCCTTTCCTTTTGGTTCATATCAGAGAAGGCTATAGAAAAATTATTAATATCTCTTTTAGAAAAACAAAGATTAAATGAAAATGCCCAGCTATGTGACAACAGAGCAAAATACAGTAAGCAGGACAACCCAAGGATGTTGTAAAATTGTGAGCCCTAATCAAGCTCAAATGTCTAACCTTTTATTTTGTAAAGCTGCCAATTCAATTTTATAGTACAAAAATTTCAGTCATTCGGGGACATTTAATATTCACTGTATCTACTATGAGAGAAGAGAATATCTTAAATGAGTTTTTAAAAACACTACGTTGGAACACTTATGGGCCAACAGGAGCCAGAGCACTAATCACTAATCTCCCCACCACATCACTAGGTGAATCCTCAGAAAATTGATGGAGGCAAGTGATGGTTCATCTGCAGTAGTAGAAGGGGAACAGAGGGTTGCCAATTCATTGCAATCAGGGTGCTTCACAGGCTGGGCTCCACCGAGAGCGAACACTGCAAATCAGAAAGGGAGAGAAAGAGGGCTGGTTCAGGGAGAGAGAAAAGAAGAGAGAAGATATGGGACTTGTGGGAGGGGGACAGACTGACTGACTCAGTTTCCAATTGCACACACACAGAAAGCTCCTCAAAGGTTACCATGCCAGCTCGGGACTTGAATTAGGGTAAAAGAATAATAAATTCCTAGGCACAATTCACAGGGCAAGTCAGAATGTCTACTCTGTTAATAACACACACTGGAAAATCATTAGCATATTTATTATTTCTTTCCCTACTCTCTGACTTACTGAATACCTACTGTTTATAAGGCACAAGAGTGTGCAAAGTTGTTAGGCATTGCCTAGATCCTTCCTTGGTTAAGGAGGCACGAATATTCATGAAAACATCACCTTAAGGGAGGGGACAGATATGTTAATGAGCCTCCTTGTGGATGGTTTCCCAATATACATGCTTATCAAAACATCAAGTTGTACTCCTCAGTGAAGATGGTCAGTTATTTCCATTTGTCAATTTTACCTCAATAAAGCTGAAGAAGCAAACAACCAAACACAGCCCTCCGGTGCCACCCTTTCATGAGTCAGCATGTGGTGGGAGAGGAGCGGCAGGCTCCTGATGAGGTCTTCAAGGTTACATTTTTACATTTCTCAGCTGTCTCAGAGGTCTGGCTGCAGAATTACTAATATCTTAAACAATGAAAATGTAATTATAGTTGAAGTATGTTCTCTAACAGACAGAAGGAAAGATTGGCATTTAGAAGCTTCATTAAACTTTTGGCCTTTTTGAGGTTCAGTGAATCTTAGGAAAGAAAGAAAAAGTTCCTATTGATTAACTTAGAAACAGATTTCTTACAATGAACAGATTTAGATCTATGAAAAATGGGCACTGATTTCAATAATCTCTCTCTCTTTCTAGATATTTCATATAAAAGAGTGTATCTATGTAGAATATATATGTAATTCGCCCTATATATTTACTTAGCAAAACCTAATTTTCTATTTTCTAATATCAACGAAACGTTCATCATATTTGCAAACCTTGAATAGCTCAATTATTTACAAATAGATATGCCTGCTGAACAATTTGGAAAAAAAAAGTTTTCATCTGTATAACAATGTCCAAATACTTTTTAAAATCAAAAGCTGTAAAAGCAACTCTGGACTATATTAAAATGTTCAACACTTGGAATATTCCTTTTCTCATGCGTCTTATCCCAATATATAAATTGGGATGATTTGTTAAAAGGATGTAATAAAATTGTCATACTCTCTTCATCTTCCAAATTTATTTAGACTTGATTTCCTGTTCTTTCTCTGGAATTTCCTTTGCTTTTCCCTTTGTCAGTCAGCTAAATTACTTCTCCTCCCACATGCATAAAAGCATTAATTTATAAAACACATAGCCATATGTCATATCTCATGTAATTCTATTTTACATTTTACCGCCACCCCGACTTATCTAACATGAACAAATAGATATTATTTACTGTCGTCAGAATGAGAATTATCTAATGCCACTTACATAGCCATAAATTGATTTTTGATTAATGTTTAAGCAAAAAGCAAACAAGCCCATCTGCTCTGAGAACAAACAAACAAAAGGAAGCAGCAGAGCACACAGTGCACAGGAATTTCTTCAGTATTAGGATGTTTCAGCTGCTGGTGAGAATTTTTTTTCCCACTGCTATTATGAAAATGTACTGCTGACAAGAATATAGTTCTGTATCTATTTGATATCTGTATCTACTATATATATATATATGGAGAGAGAGAGAGAGAGATGGAGTTTCTCCTCTAGCAACTGTTCACTTAATAGACTATTACTTATGGTAAAATAAGAAAAATTCCCACTCTGAAGGAAGTCCAGAAGACCCCTAACCAGCAGTGAATTTCTTCTGGGCCACTCAGTGACAGCAAAGGAAATGTCACATGGTTACGTTTTCTTCTTCAAGGGCTGCTCTCTGTGGTCAAGTTAAGAATGAAGAAAAGCTAGCTCTCGGCAGAGAAAGTGAGTGCTGAAAGAGGAAGACTTATAAAATACTTTACACTGTCTGCTGGATACATATGAAATTTCCTTTTCCATACAACCCAGAAACAGCAAGACTCTAAACAAGAAAGTCTCCATCCTATTTACTCCATCGCTCCACGTATGGCACCCAGGACACACACCCTAGCATGGCTTGACAGGCAGCTCTCCACGTACACTGAATTACCTCCTTCCACCATGGAGATGAGACACCCTGCCTGCCACATCAGGTGGGAGCTTCGCTAATGCCAATGAATTGTCAATATTCTAATTTTCAGGGGAAAAAAGGAGATGCAAAAAAATAATAACACCAATGAGCAAATTTTGAGCAGAAATAAACAGCAGATAGTGTCTGGAAATGTTGCACAGCAGGTTAAAGGATGAGAGAATGGTTAAGAGCATTTTGAACCACCAAAAGGACACGCGAACACACATACCTCTGAGCAAACAGAAGACACGCCTTACTGCTGCAGAAAGAAGAAATTTAATTTCCAACTTTCCAAATTAAATCCCAAGCCTGATAACTAAAAGCAAACCTTACATCTCATTCACCATGTTATATATACTGCCATTTGCTAATGCGTAAAGACTAAAGAGTGCAAATGAATTTCTACAAATGGTCACTCCCAGGCTAAGATAGATACTGTCAAATGAACAAGTCATTTTATGACTATATTTTAACTTCAGAAATCTTGGGCTGACAACTGAATGCTTGCACAGATCCTACTGTGCCTCCATAAAAAATGACTGCAATAAGGTTTCACTCAAGAGTTCATTTAAAAATTGTTCTTTAAAACGTTCCACACATACACGCTGTCCTAGAGAACAAGAATCTTTGTCTTTCTTTGCCGAAAGACAGTGTTTCTTGAGGCCTGTTTTTGCCTTCCATGGACAGTTCTGATTTTGGCTTCAGAAGAATACGTGCATGGCTGCCCTAAACCGGAGGGATAAAAACCTCAAGTAAAGATTGTTAACATATCAATTACATCAACCTTTTCTAATTACAAATCTGCATTTCATTATTCTTCAGGCAAAATGAGTACCTTACCATGGAGAGTGCCAGGTAAACAAAGCCTTTCCCTGTCCCATTTCAACAGTTTGTTTTGATAAACATTTCCCCTGTCCCCCAAACAAGCTACAGCAGCACAATGGTCCTGCTGTTGAGCAAGGCCTTGACCTCTACAGGACAATGGATTGTTTTTCTCTTAGTCCCCTCAGAGCAGAATTATTTTTAATAAGGAAGTCTCTTCTTTATTAAAGGAAGTAAAGGAGTAAAAACAACAACCAAAAAATGGAGCATACGCAGCACAGATTTGTAAGCTTAGATTGTACAAAGCTGGTGGGTACTTGGTGTGCCAGGAAAGCATGTCACCTGCTTCTGCTTTTCCCTAAGGACAGGGTTTAAGGAGTCTGTTCTGGAATTTTCCAAGGAGGCCATTTTAGGTATCACAACAGGGGACTTGCTAGTCAGAATATTAGTCCCATCTACAAAACACAACACAACACACAGAAAATTGCTTCTAAAGGAGTCAGAGGAAGGAGTTTATCTAGAAAGAAGATACCAAGAGTCACCCCTTTCCAGAAGGGACAATAGGAAGTCAACAAGTGTGGAAGTGAATGGGCTGGAATGTCAGTGGGTTCTTTTCCAGAGCCTTCTAAGGGCGGGATGAACTTCTTTTTAAACGTACAGGCACAGCAGAGGGGTAGCTCCCACATGCCAAGGAAGAGAAGCACCCCACAGCTCCAACCATGCAGCAGATGATGAGAAGAATCCAGGCATCTTATTGCTCAAATGCATTTCTCAAAGGCTTCCACAAGTTTTTGTGTGTGTACTTTGAAGACACTCAATATGCAGAGGATTGGCTGAGCCCGCAGCAGTGCCTAGCCAAGGTATACCAACCTGAACTCCTTGCCTGATTATGACAAGGAATAAGGGACCAGGTATGACAGAGGAAATAACTGTCTTGGTTGCCTGTAGAAATGCACTAGGTAACTTCATTATGATGGTGGTTAGGACTGATTTTCAACACACACACACACATTTTTCAAAACAATTCACTGGCAAAAAGCAAGGCCTCAAGCACATTTTCTCCCTCTATCTTTTTTTCCTTTGTGAAGGCTACTACTTAGTCACTTTTTTTCCACTGGTTTAGGTAATACCAGAAGAAACAGGACACTATAAAAAGCTTATTTCGCTGCCACAGAAAGCAGTATTTTAAAGCAGTCGGGCTTGATAACAGCACACACTGTGCAGTATCTTTCATCAACAAGGGCTGTCACATCATGTGCTTTGGACTCATTTAACACACCCAGCTGGGGTGGGGGGGGCAGAGGGGGGAGGGGTCCTTGACAGCCTGTCTGCTCCAACCGTGCTGGTAATAATGTTCAGGAAGGACAGGAAAGAACGGACCGCACAATTAAAACTACAAGGGGAGGGATTCACATAGGCAAAGGCAATCAACAAGGGCCATGTCAAAGTTTGGTAGAAAACTGACTTTTCAGAAGGGATGTGAGAAAGAGTAACTGCAAGATTAAATAATCCGGTAAAAAGCCTGGAGTAAACTGTTAGTCTGTTGTTAATATCACAGATAAAAATCACAGCAGGCAAATGATTACCCTCCTGAAATGAAATGAAGACCGAGGGACCAGTGGGCACAGACACCGCTCACTGTCTGGCGTGGTAACTACCCCAGCCAAGGAGGAGGAGGGAAATGGCCAGGGAGGGGAGCACCACTCCACAAGGTGGGAGGGTGGCCGCTGCGGAAGCAGGGGTTCGTGGAGCTTTCTTCTGGATGCCTCTCCCAGCACCCAGCACCCAGCACTCAGCACTGCAGGGCTGGCTGAGGATGGCTGCTTAGTGAATGGAGGAAACGGGGGTGGAGGGGGTGCCTCAGACATGTCATTAATGGGGATAGAATAGAATCAGGAGGCTGCTGTATCTCATCGACCTCTATTACCACCACCATCCAGAGCAC